TCCTATCCATCTGCCTCTTCTGCGGTAGGGGAGGTTGTAAGTTTGGATGATGCTGTGAAAGTGAGACTTGATGAGGTATTGCAGTACAGCTTGAAGGTGGTGCACGCTGCTGCCACTCTACCTCAGTGACAAAGGAAGTGAATTTTGAAGGTGGTATATGTAATGCCAATCAAGCTAATGCTCTAACCCAGGCAAAAATAACCATTGGTGGTGGAAAGGCATCAAGAGGCGAGTTACTCTGTGCAGAATTCTGAGCCTCTGACCTGCCGTTGTAGGCATATTGTTTGTATGGCTGGTCCAGTCTAGTTTCTTGTCAATGGCAACTCTCAGGATGTCAATATTGAGGGATTGATTAGATTCTCTCAAGATGGTATTTTCCATGGCGCTTAGGAATGTGACTTTATACTTATCAGCCCAAGCCCGTATGCTGTCTAAATTTTGCCTGCTGTTTCAATGTCTGATGAGTTATAAAAGATGCTTAAAGAAGAAAAGGTGTGCAAAAGGTGGGAGGAAGCAAATAAATTGAGAATCAAACTGAACACGGAAAGTTTAGAAGGGAGGTGAAAAAGCAAACATGATTCAAAAAGTGATTATGAACAAAGACTGGCAGCAAACGTCAAGTGAAACCCCACTATTTAAAAAAGGAGGGAGAGAAAAAAAACCAAAAAAACAGACTAGTTGGGTTAACATCGCTAGTGGGGAAATGTTAGTTTCTATTATAAAAGATGTGATAACAGAATACTTAGAAAGGAGTAATGGAACTAGACTAAGTCAGCATAAGTTTATGAAAGGGAAATCATGCTTAATGAATCTTCTGAAGTTTTTTGAAGATGTAACTAGTAGAATAGATAAGAGAGAATCAGCGGATGTATATATTTGGATAAGGACTTTTGATAAGGTCCCAGTTAAGAGGCTAGTGGGCAAAATGAAAGCATGTAGGCTTACGGTAAGGTAGTAGCATGGATTGAGAATTGGTTGACAGACCAGAAACCGAGAGTGGGAACAAATGGGTATTTTTCCCAGTAGCAGGGAGTGACTAGTGGTGTACCACAGGGATCAGTAGTTGGGACCCAGCTTTTCACAATTGTAGTGATTGGAACAAGGTGGATTTTATTGAATATGAGAGCCTTGATTGAAGTTGCTAACCTGGGCCAATCAAGGCGCCCTGAGTGACAGGCATAAAGAGGAAATCAGAATCTCCTCATTTCTGGGACTGATTCTGAGCTGGCTGACTACAGCTAGTGTGTTGTGCACATGTAAATAAAAGGTGACTTGGTGATGGGATACTATCCATTGTGCAGTTATCTCAACAATATATATAAACAACTTAGACAAGGGAATGAAATGCAACATTCCCAAATTTGCTGACCAAACAAAATTGGATGGGATTGCGTGTTATGAGGTGGATTCAAGGAGGCTTCATGGTAATCTGGGAAATTTGAATGTACGCCTATGGGCAAACACATGGTAAATGCAGTATAGTGTGGATTAATGTAAAGTTATACATTTCCACATGCAAAACAGAAACAGTATCATTTAAATGGTGGTATATCGGGAAATAGGGATGTACCAAGAGATCTGGGTGTCCTTGTACACCAGCAATGAAAGTAAATAGGCATGTCTTGGAACAAAAGTAACGGTAGGAGCGTGGATACAAAATTGGCTGAGTGATGAGAAAAAGATAGTAATGGTTAATTGGTATTATTCAGACTGAAGGAAGGTTTGTGGGAGAGTTTCCCAGGAATTGGTTTTGAGACACTTGTTTTCCTGGTATATTTATTTAATCTAGACCTTGGTGAAAAGGGGACAATTTCAAAGATTGTGGATGACACAAAACTTGGAGGTTTTGTGAGCACAGTGCAGAACTTAAGGGTGGCACAGTGGCTCAATGGTTAGCACTGCTGCCTCACAGCGCCAGGGACCTAGGTTCGATTCCACCCCTGGGCAACTGTCTGTGTGGAGTTTGCACATTCTCCCCATATCTGTGTGGGTTTCCTCCAGGTGCTCCGGTTTCCTCCCACAGTCCAAAGACGTGCAGGCTGGGTGGATTGGCGATGCATAATTGCCCATAGTGTTCAGGGATGTGTAGATTAGGTGAGCTATAGGGGATGGGTCTGGGTGGGATGCTCTGAGGGTCGGTGTGGACTTGTTGGGCCGAAGGGCCTGTTTCCACACTGTAGGGATTCTATGAATATAAAATTAGGGGTACTATTCTAAAGTGTATGTGGGAGCAGAGAGACTTGTGCCTAAGTTATTAAAGGTAGCAGGATCAGTAGACAGAACTGTTAATAAAGCAAAGTATTCTAGACTTCAGGGTGGCACGGTGGCTCAGTGGTTAGCACGGCTGCCCTACTCTGCCAGGAACCCAGGTTTGATTCCCCTTCCTTGGGTGACTGTCTGTGTGGAATTTGCACAATCTCCGTGTCTGCGTGGGTTTTCTCTGGGTGCTCCGGTTTCTTTTCACAGTCCAAAGATGTGCAGGTTAGGTCGATTGGCCACGCTAAATTGCTTATAGTGTACAGGGATGTGCTGGCTAGGTGGATTAGCCATTGGGAATGCAGTGTTACAAGGATGGGGTGGGTATGGGTGGGATGCTCTTCGGAGGGGGGTGTGGACTCAAAAGGCCAAATGTCCTGCTTCCATAATGTACGGATTCTATGATAATGGTGGCATAAGTACAAGAACAGAGAAGTTATGCTGAACCAAATAGTACATGAGTTAATCCTCAACTGGAATATTGTGAAAAGTTCTGCAGGCACCAAAGTTCATGAAGAATGTTGGAGGGAGTGCAAAAGATTCATAGATTCATACAGCTCAGAAAAGGCCCTTCAGCCCATCGAGTCTGCACTTGATATAATTACCACTAAAAGCACGTTAATTGCAATTTCCTGCACTTGTCCCATATCCTTAAAGAGGTTTATGAATTTTGGCATGGTTTACCAGAATAGTTCCAGGGCCATGAAACTTTAATTATGAGGAAAGAAAGAGGAGCTGGGGCTGTTTTCCTTGAGGAATAAAAGTTTGGGGCCGATTTGAAAGAAGTTTTCATAATCATGAAGGGTCTGGTAGAGAGAAACTGTTCTCACTCACAAAATGTGAGGGCATGGTTTTAACCTGTTTACAAAAGAAGCAAGCACGAGATGAGAAAGCCTTTTCCACCCAGTGACTGGTTAGAATCTGGAATGCGCTGCCTCCCCATGTGGCAGACGTGTGATGGAAGCATTCAAGAGGGCATTAAATGATCATTTAAACAGAAATAATGAACAGATTTATGTGGAAAAAGTCAAAATGCTCAGCCAGTTGATGCGGACAGTAAGGACAAATGGCCTCCTTCAGAGCCTTGAGAGTAGATCTGTGTCAGGCTGTTGCTTGACTGGTCTGCGTGAGACAGCTCTCACAGTTTTGACACAAGCCCTCAGTTGTTGGTAAGGAAGACTTGACAGTGTCAATGAGTTTATATTTGCTGCTGTCATTTTCAGTGATGCTTGTTGGTCCATCCACTTCCATTACTTTCTTTTCATCTTGTACCGGCTTGATATAACTGAGTGGCTTATCTGGCTATGCAGAGGGTAGTTAAGAGTCAACCACATTGCAGTGCATCTGAAGCCACAGGTAGATCAGACCAGGTGTTTCCTTCCATAGAAATTCAAGATTATTTTTAAACAAATTCAAATTTCACCTTCAAATTTCACCCTCTTTCAAGGTGAAATTTGAACACAAGTCTCCAAAACAGTAACCTGGGGCTCTGGATTACCTATTGAGTAGTCATACCGCGGCACCACCATCTCCTCTCCTTGAGTCCAGAGCCTTGGCTTCACTGAACCACAAGGACTATCGCCCATAAATGAACGAATAGATAAAAAAGTTTGTCTCAGAGATTTTCAGTTTCTGAAAAATAGGAGAATACATGAGCCACCTCATGTGAGATCACAGCACAGGAAAGAAGAGACAGAAACAAAATCAAAAATAGCTGGAAAAACTCAGCAGCTCTGGCAACACCTGGGGAGAGAAGTCAGAGTTAAGGTTTTGGGTCCAGTGACCCTTCTTCAAAACAGAATTGTTCTGGAGAAAGGTCATTGGATCTGCAACGGTAACATTGCTTTTTCTCCACAGATGCTGCCAGACTTGCTGAACTTTTCTAGCAATTTCTGTTTTTGTTTCTGATTGCCAGCATCTGCACTTCTTTCATTTTTTTTTGTTTACAGGAAAGAAGAGGTCTACTATAAACATTCATCGTTCAGGTTAGCACTCAGCTAAACATAAGGCAGTCAAAACATAGAAACAAGGAGCAAAAGAAACCCTTTGAGATTGCTCCACCATTCAATATGATGATGGCTGATCATCCAACTCAATACCTTATTCCCACTTTCTCCCTGTATCCTTTAATCCCTTTAGCCCAAAGAACTATAACTAACTCCTTCTTGAAAAATTTAACTTAATTTAGTTTTTTTTTAAATTTGATATTTAAGCCTCAACTGCTTTCTGTGGCAGAGAATTCCACACAAACAGATTATTGAAGATGGGGTAACAAGGTGTAGAGCTGGGTGAACACAGCAGGCCAGGCAGCATCAGAGGAGCAGGAAAGCTGATGTTTTGGGTTTGGACCCTTCTTCAGGAAAAAAAGATAGGGAGTCTGAGCACGCAGTTATTGGTGATGTGAAGGTACCAGTGTTGGCACTGTGGTGGTCAAATTCAAATGTCACAGGGCACCAGGTTATAGTCCAATAGGTTTATTTAAAATCACAAGCTTTCCGAGAGCAGCCTCCGAAAGCTTGTGATTTTAAACAAATCTGTTGGACTTATAACCTGGTGTCCTGTGACTTTTGACTTTGCAGTTACGAGTGGCACTGAACTGGGGAGAATATTGGGGACCTATGAATTTATGAAAAATAAAGGCATTTGACAGAAACCGCGAAGCCATCAGCTAAGATTTCATTTCACCAGAAATGGAAGGAGTGTAGAGGGGTGCAGTTAAAAAGGAGGTTGCGTTGACTGCACAGTAACTGTACCGTCTCCTTGTGTTTTAACAGGCACCAGCAGTGCAGAGGTAAAGGAGAACCGCAATGTTGGAAATCTATCTCTGGAGGATCACACCCGAACAGCTAGTGACCGCCAGATCTTCCGTTGTTCCGATGTGGCTACGGGTGGAGCGCCTGGCCTGAAAAGGAAAAGACCCCTGGAGGAAGGGAATAACGGGCACATGCACCCTAAGGTGCAGCTGAAGTGTAAGAAACTCTCCTGGTCGGTGACACCAAAGAATGCCTTAGTACAGCTGAATGAGCTGAAGCCGGGGTTACAGTATCAGATGGTCTCCCAGACGGGACCCGTGCATGCGCCCATTTTTGCTATTGCTGTCGAGGTGAATGGTTTGCTCTTCGAAGGTACGGGACCCACCAAAAAGAAAGCAAAGATGAGGGCCGCTGAGATGGCCCTGCAGTCTTTCGTGCAGTTCCCTAACGCGTCGCAGGCTCACTTCACCCTGGGGAACTGCGTCAACCCCAGCGCGGATTTCACATCTGACCAGGCTGACTTCCCCAACACACTGTTTAAGGAGTTTGAGCCCTCGGCTCAGAGTGATGGCTTGCCTTGCTGCAGCCCTGCTGAAAATGAATTGCTGTACAGCGGCTGCAGACATGGGCGATTACTCTGCCACACGTTGGATTTAATGGTCCAAGCCAAACAAAACAAGCACAAGGTTCCATTCCCAGCAGCGAGCAGGAAGAATCCAGTCGAGATGTTAAATGAGCTGCGTCCGGGCCTGAGGTACGTGTGCATCTCGGAGACTGTCGAGAAGCATGTCAAGAGCTTTGTGATGGCAGTAAGGGTGGATGGGAGAATGTTTGAAGGCTCAGGACGCAGCAAGAAGCTGGCCAAACTCCAAGCTGCACAGGCTGCTCTTCAGACTCTCTTTAACATCCAGCCTGTTCCCAGTGGAAAGCCTTGTCAAGCCCCTGGCAGGAATAAATATCCTCATTTACCACAGGTGAGAATTGCCTGCCAGCCATTGGCAGGCCTTGGCCATTTCACACCAAATTCTTGGCCGACCTCAGGTAACCTTCATTTACACAGATTGGTGGGCGGGAGAGAAATGATGGGAAGTAATTGGGAGGTGCTGAGTACATTTGAAAAAATCTGCTTTTGCAGTAACCTGGTAAATTAGTGAGAGCGTCATTCCCTGCAGAAAATAAAAGTTGCAATGCAGATTTTGAAGTTTTATTCTCAATCAAGTAATTGTGCAAATATACAAAACATGTATTGAATTGTTGTTTTCTGAGGTTAAAATATCTTTGAAGTAATTAGTATTAATAGTAATAGCATAATACTATTAGTACCAGTAGTTAAAACTGGTTACTAAATTAGGATTCATAAATATTATATATATGATCTAATTTTGTCCGTAGTATATACAAAATCACTGAAATAAACATTGGGAAATATTAGATTATTAAAGACTAATACTGTTTTATGTAAGAGGCCGATAACATAAGGTTTTTTTTTAAATTAAACTAGAATATTAAAATGAGTTTCCAGTTCCCCAGCAGTTGCCTGAGGGCAGACAGGTATCCTGAAAGTTCAACCGATTCCTGCGTGAAGCTGAATGGAAATGGACTGGCAGGTGGGGACTGGAATTGGTAAGGGTAAGGTATGCCACTGACAGTACACAGAGAAACCACCCTGGGGTAAGCTGCACTGAATGGGCTGGGCGAGGGGTTGCAGAAACAACACTGGCTGGGGGGAGGGAAAGGAAAGATCACGGCAGGATCAGCCCCAGAATTCCTCGAACAGCACTCCTGCTCCTTTGGGTCCCCAAGGAATTTTTCACAAATGAAAAGCTTCTGGTGGCACAATGGCTCAGTGGTTATCACTGCTGCCTCAGAGCGCTACAGACCTAGGTTCTATTCCAACCTCAGGCAACTATCTGTGTGGAGCTTTTACATCTCTCCATGTCTGCATGGTTTTCCTCTGGATGGTCTGGTTACCTCCCACAGTCCAACAATGTCCAGGTTAGGTAGATTGGCTGTTCTAAATTGCCAATAGTGTCCAGCGATGTGCAGATTAGATGGATTGGCTGTGTTAAATTGCCAATAATGTCCAGGGATGTGCAGTCTAGGAGGATTAGCCATGGGAAATGCAGAGTTCCAGGGATAGGGTGGGGGCTGAGTCTGCATGGGATGCTCTTCGAAGGGTTGGTGTGGACTCAATGGGCGGAATGGCCTGCTTCTGCATTGTAGGGATTCTGTGATGATACTCTGCTGCCTCTTGCTCAATACCGGTGCCACCATTGCTGTGAGGTGGGCCTCCCTGAGTCCCAGTAAAAACGGAGTCACGGAGCTGATGACTTTGTTGAACCATAACTTTTACACCTCAACAGATCCGTCACCTCTCACCTCTAGCCAGACTCTCGCATCACTTGGAAGTCAGTGAAGGTTAATATATTTGATTTATATGATTTATTTATTGTCACATGTATTTTGTTAAATAAAGTGTTGTATAGTGTCACCATGTTCTGGCACCATAAAGGCTGTGAGGCAGGAATGGAATGGTCATAGGCCAGAAAGTCAGCTTGCTTGATTTTAACCGTTCAATGAAGTACAGGTCTAATCTCTATCATTGCGTTTTGTGAATCCATTAAGAAACGCCTCTTTGTGAACCCAACTTTGTTTCCAGGAAGGTGAAGATTTCCTCATATCAAAGGATAAGAGTAAATTAAAGTGGTAATAAGTCAGATGATTGAGTGGAAAGGCAAGACTGAACAACTTTGTGGTGCTCCCTGTAGGAAAAATGAAGACTGAAAGGTGACTTGGTTGGCAAGGTAGACACACTGTGGGGAGGAGGACGGGGGAGGAGTCCAAAACTAGGGACCATAAATATAACCTGGTCATTAATAAATCTGGTTAGGGGTTTGAGAGAAATTCTTTACTCTGAGAGTAGCTCTTGTGGAACTGGTTACTGTGAGAAATATTTGGGATGAATAGCATACAGTAGCTACATTTAAGGAGAACCTAAATAAGTACATGAAGAAGAAAGGCACACAAGATATGTTCAAAGGTTGAATGATATAAAGCCAGAGGGGGCTCATTTGGAGCATAAACACCAGACTAAGCCTTCTGTACCAGAAGGCTTGATTCTGCAGGATAAAATTCTACAGACTGCATTTTAAAAAGGGTCAGGCCAAAGTTGTCTGAATATTGAATCCCAATTCCAGGATCTGAAAAGGAAGTTCCAGGATGCACAGTATCAAGAATTTGGAAGATGGAAACAAGCACCAGTCAAAGAAGCAGAGCATTGGAATATAGGAACAGGACTAGACCATTCAGCCCTTGAGCCGGTTCCACCATTCATTGAGATCATGGCTGATTTGTGCCTAACTCCCTGTACCTACATTGGGCCCATATCCCTTAATACCTTTGCTGAACAAAAATGTGTCTATTTCAGATTTAAAATTAACAACTGATTCTGCATCCACTGCAGGTGTGGAAGAGAGTTCCAAATGTCTACACCCTTTGTGTGTAGAAGTGCATACCAACATCGTTCCTGAATGGTCTGGCCCTAATTCTTAGACTTTTCACCCTAGTTCTAGAATCTTCAACCAGTGGAAATAGTTTATCTTTATTGACACTGTATTTTCGTGTCAATATTGTGAAGGCTATGATCAGATCACCCCTTAACCTTCTAAATTCTAGAGAAAACAGGCTTAATTTGTGTAATCTCTCCTCATAACTTAACCCCTGATGTTCAGGTATCATTCTTGTAAACCTACATTGTACTCCCTCTAAGGCCAACATACCCTTCCTAAGGTATAATGCCCAGATCTGCTCATAGGACTCTAAGTGGGGTCTAACCGTGGTTTCGTTTAACTGCAGCATAACTTCTGCATCCTTGTACTCCAGTACATTTGATGTAAAGGCCAGCAACCCATTAGCTTTCTTGATTATTTTCTGCACCAGTTTATGACATTTCAAAGATCTAGGCACCTGAAACCCCAAATCTCTTTGGAAATCCATTGCATTTAACTTCATACAATCTCAAAAGTACCCTGATCCATCCTTTTTCAGTCTGATATGAATAACATCGCATTTGCTTAGATTGAACTCCATCTGCTACAGTTTTGCCCATTCACTTACCTTATCAATATCCCCTTGTAATTGCATGCTGTCATCTACAGTGTATATAATACCGCCTAACTTTCTGTAATCAGCACATTTGGAAATATGATTTTTAATGTCATTATCCAAATCGTTTATCAATAACATGAATACTTGAGGCCGTAACACAGATGTTTATGGGATCCCATTGTTCATATCCTGCCAATTTTATTATCTACCCATTTTATCCCTACTTTTTGTTGTCTGCCACTCAACTAGCAGGTCACCCCATGTTCCCAATCCTGTGTTCACCATCTAAAGGACAAATGTAGCGAAAGGAGGGCCTAATCCAAAATCCCAATGGCAATTATTGCCTTTTATATTCATTCATGCTAGGTGGCTTCCACTGGCTAGGCCATATTTATTGCCCATCTCTAATTGCCCACAGAGCAACTGCATTGCTGTGGGTCTGGAGTCATGTGCAGCTCAGACTAGATAAGAACAGCAGTTTTCTTCCCTAAGGGTCATCAGTGAACTAGATGGGTTTTTCTGACAGTGATTTCCTGGTCATCATTAGACTTAATTTTTATTGAATTCATATTCTACATGACAGGATTCAAGCCCAGGTCTCCAGGACATTACCTGGATCACTAGATTAATATTCTAGCGATAATACCACAAGGCCATTGCCTCCCATTTTCTTGGCCATACCAGCGACACTGAATGAAGTGGTAGCATTTGAAGGCATTTGGCTGAGAGGGAAGCGTCAAACAACAAATCATCCTTCATGAAGAAATGCTAATTAGTAATTTCCAAGTTTGCTGTTCTTTCTCTGATATGTGATAGATGCCCAGAAAGCCTCATAAAACACACAACTGTCCAGAACGATCCCTAAGCTTTGGGATAACATCTCCTCGGGGCCAAACAACAGCAGTGGCATCATCACAATTCCACCAATGATGCAGGTATTTAGGAGATCCGGGGCCCTTAAGGTCATACTAGTGCTGTGCAAAAGATTGGTACTGATGTTGTGATTCCAGGATCCAGTCTAGGAAACCAAGGCTTGAAATTGAACCATAACAACTGAATATTTCTTAAAGTGATTTTTTTTTAATGAAATTCAAGAATATAAGACAAATCATTTCAAAATGCACATCAATTCACTTGTGTTTGGTGCCATCTCAAAGAAAATGGTTTCTTCTACCTGTGTTACTTCTATGAGCAAACGTTGGGTCTTCGCAACCCAGTGGAGAAATAACTTTTCAAATTTTTTTTTTAAAATGAAGATCCATTTCAGTGCTGCTACTGTCTTTCAATTTGTAAGTGACTGGGTTCAAGTTATCCAAATATCTGGTGCTTCACGTGTCTCTCTGCAATTTTTAATGCATGCAAAATGCTTATTTGTTTTATAACAGTTTATGAGCCATGTAAGAATTATTTTAACAATTTTCTAGTTTTGGTGTTCAAACATATCCCATAATAACATACTGAGCACACAATCATTTTTCCAGCTTCATTTGCTTTGCAGGAGAACAGTGACCAGATTCCCCAAGTAATTAACCGGCTGTGAAACACTTCTGAAAAACCTGAGCAGTGTAAAGTTTTGTTGTCCTTTCATTTCATTGAAAACATTATTATATTTAAGATTACTCCTCCTCGTGGCCTGACTTCAGCTGCATTACTCTGAAAGGACAGGAGACCAGTGGGTTACATGTAGAAAACACTATCCCAAATATGAGTAGCTTTCAATTAGTATTTAAGTGAAGCACTAGCAACAGACACTGAACCAAACAGAAACACAAAGGTTGCTGAAAGTTCCACCAGCTCTGGTCCTCCCCTGCTGACCCCAATCAACTGTTTGCAGAATCCAGAAAATTTGATTTGATTTGATTTATTA